ATTCCGTCGGGAATCCTTAGTCATAGGTAATCGCGAACAAGTCTGAGACATGCGCAGATAAGGGGTGTTAGTTAGTTAGTCTATTTCCAACTAGGATAAAGGTATGGATACTGATTTATTATATTAAGTTGAAACAGCGGATGTAGATAACAAAATGCCAATTGATAAGTTGAGGAAGGAAAGAAGCAGCAATTGGTAGATAACTTCTGGTACGTAAAAGTAGAAACTGTTTACACTCAAGTCAAAACGATAGAAATAATTGGATGCAAACTAACTGTTTTGCATGTCCTCAACGGCCTTCTTCACCTCTGAAATCGTACCATTCTTGGCGACATTTGAAGAGGGGAGTATTCGGTTAGTCCTTTTTTCGGTCAACATGATCTTTGGGACGGAATTTACCGCAGAATCACCATTTAAAAGCAGTATGTTGTCCGGTTCGTGATGCAGAATCTCGTTCCCATCAACGATGGCTTCCTCGTCGCCGTTGGAGGAGACTTCTTCAATCTGCACAGGGGGCAATATGGAGCGCAGGGTTCGTTACTAGATTGCAATAACTGTCGGATTATGAAAGGCAGCAAAGGGATAGGAGACTAGTGTGTTGGCGATGGGAACTGCAGGTGACAAAATCCTACTACACCAGCGAACCCGATAAAGGAATGTTAGCTAATTCTGACGCAAACAACTTTGTGTACGTACTGCTACACTACAGTGGAAACCCCGGTTAATGACTTTAAACCGTTCTAGCACCGAACTCGTCATGTGAAACGTATTATATAAAAACTGTACCAGTTCAGTGATTAGCTGCAGGCAATCGAGGACGCATGCCCTGGGAGCAAGACTCAACGGCGGACACAGGCACACCCACGCACTGACAACTTGTTAACTAAGCGGGAGGTCATCAATCGAGACATTTTTTGCTAGTGGCTCGATCGTTACCTGAAGTGCTCGTAGATGGGTTTGCTCGTCAGCCGAGGGTCCACTGTACGTCGGAGGAAGTAGTAAAGGTTTATTTACCCAGTTTACAGGATTGCAAACGTGCATAAGAACTACTGGGATTGAGTCTGCTACGGGGAAGGTTAGAATAGCCGGTGGAACGACGGTTGCACCACTTATACGTTTTTGAAGGGACAAGGAGCAACAGGCCGGCACTTGAAATTGGGTTATGTAGCGCTTGTAAGGAGACCTGATTACACTCCACTTCGTTAGGGGTAAGGCCGTGTTTGCAGACCTTACCTGCAACGACTAAAACAGCGCTTTGTTAGGCTTTCGTAGTTAAACCCGTCCGTTGACT